GTTTATTCTTAACCATTTGAACAAAATCGCTAACCTTTATTTGTAAACCGCTATATCAAATGGCCTTTATAGTTCTTTTGAATTCTCATCTATCTTGGTATAAGTTTTGACTGGAAACAATGACTAATGTTCATGATTCATCCAAGAGAAAAAGATGGGTTTGCAGTGTTGTGATTCTGCATCAAATTACAGTGCAGAAAGAAACTCAGAAGAATTCAAAAAGTACAGTATTATACGTTTTAAGAGGTTTGCAGAATTTGCCAAGGGGACCTTGTATGCATACTGTCAAGGGAACCGAACTGTGATCAGAATAGTAATGTACAAGTAGTTAAAAGGTCCTCGATAAAGGCAGAACTCATATTTAAAACTCATATCCATATTTTTATTTATTATAACTTATTGGTTGTATTTTTTAAATTTATTTAATATATAAAAAATATATAAAATTCAAAGATAAGTATAGTAAAAAAATATAATAGTAGCTTAAACAAAGAAAAAGTGACATTATATACAGATGGTGTTGTAATAACCCCGGCCCACCTTCCATAGGGATTTTGAGCAGTGGCATTATTTCTGAAAATAACAACTCATCCAGCAAATATACCATGAGATTACCATGAAAAATCTCATGCCTTCCCTTTAATTTTTCTGACTCCATAATCAATATCATCGTCAGTCAGTATTTTTTTCTGCACGCAATAAATGATTATGCTGATCTCTGTTATATTTGGAGACGATTCCCTTAGATCTCAAATAAGGGCTTATATGCCACTTGTCCTCAGTATTTCTTCATTAAGCAGCTTTACAGGTTCTGTATCATGCAAAATAGTTTGGCCAACACCTGGTTTTAGCCCTTTATCTTATTAAATTTAAAGGTTTTAATTCCTCATCTTATATTATATTATGACATTTTTGACTTTTTATCTTATTAAATTTTTAAGTTTTAGCCTTTCACCTATTAAAATCGAAGAAAATAGCTCTCACTTTATAGTAATTGTTAACTTTGTTAGTTGAAAATAAGTTTTTGTCAACTAACAATCAATTAATAGTCAATTAACAGAATTAACGAAATATTATAAAATTAGTTCTGTTAACTCTATTAGTTGAAAGAAAGTTTTTGTCAACTAACAGTCAACTAATAGTCAGATAATAAAGTTAACAGTCAGTTAACAGAACTAATAAAATGTTACAAAGTGAGGGCTATTTTTTTCAATTTTAACAAATGAGGGGTTAAAAGTGTTATAATATAAGGTGAGAAGTTAAAACCTATAAATCTAATAAGGTGAAGGATTAAAAGTATGATAATATAAGGTGAAGGGTTAAAACCTTCAAATTCAATAAAGTGAAGGGCTGAAATTAAGTTTTTACCAAATAATTTCCACGAGAATCAAAACGATGGTTTAATTGGTTAAAAGTTCAAAATTTTAATTTTAAATTAAATGAAGAGGAAAGTTGGGTAAAGGAAATGACCATCTCTCTTGGGCAGCCCATCTTGGAATGCACCATAAAATGGAATAGCAAAAAAGGGGAGAGACCTGAAAGGTAATGCCGCGGCTTCACTATGTTTTATGTTCATGTATAGAGAAACCGTGCCTTGGAAAGCGTAGTAGATTTAAAATAGATTTGTCTGCAGTTAAAAACATTAGTTGAGATTGCTGCCTGGTTGATGACCATACCCATACCCGAACACCACGAAATCTCCGAAGAAAAGATTTTTCTCAGGAAAATGAATTACACCAAGGAAAATGGGACCTTCATATCATTATCATACAACAAAAATAATTATACCATACAAATTTATCATTGTCTTGATCAAATCAAAAGTGAGAGCATTCTTCTTTTTCCATGCTTCTCAAGAATCTCAACACTTCCCTATCTATTTACTCCTACAAATAAAAGGATTCTATCAGTACAAGCCCTAAATTACAGAGGAATTAATGTGGAAACGTCTCCCAGATTTACAAATCCCAGTTGAATGCATTTCACAATCAAGGCCACCTGTATTTACACTGGTCAGTGAGGCAATGGAGATGGAAAATTTTGGCAAATCCTGTCTAACTGCAAGTCAAGGAGTCCTAAGATGGAAGTCAAGAGATTTTCTTGTTGGCGATTCATGAAGGACCTAGCTTTCAGATGAATTCTAGAAAACCAGAAAGTTGGTTCAGATATGCTGCACTTCCTTCCCCTGAGTCCTCAAAAGGGCACATGGATGATTGTTTACGGTACCAAGAGGCATTTTGCTGGCATGCGAAGAAAGGCTGAAGATGTGTGAATCGTTGATCTGCTTTGTTGCAAACAGGCTAGTGGAAACTTCAAGAGTAGAACTAGAGCAGCAAGGATGACAAGAAGCTCCAGCACAAGCAAAGGTTTCAGCATGACATACTTGACGAGTCTCACTGAGACAGAAAATAAGAAAGGATAAACAAAATATGCATATAGAGAAAGAAAAGCCACATGGTACTTGTTCAACAAATAATGAATGAATAATCTAGAGTGAAGGATGTGAATATATATGATATACATACCTATAATGTGGCAACTTCCCATTTGTAATCTGTGTGCTTGGGGAAGTAGACCTCAAATCAGATGTATGTGTGTTGCAGTTTCTTGGACTACTATGTGATTTATCCTATGGGATCATTTACGTAATATCAGTGCACTAATTATAACAACATTTGCAGGTCCAAGCAGAAAGACAGTTTTGGAGCTTATAAATGGCTTAAGAACAGAGGGCTGGTGGGTGGTGCTTACCATTTGGTTCATACTAGAAAATGCTTGGGTAAGGGCTGACATGCTCTGATCGACTGAATTCCGCACAAAAGGATGATCAAGTAGAGTAGCTGCTGATGACCGCTCTGCAGGATTCCTTCTAAAGCAACGCCGGAGGAAATCCTTTCCTTCTGATGACAATGCTTCTGGTATGAGTGGGGTTTGGTTCATAACCTTGAACATAGCTGTAGGCTGATAGCAACAATGAAAATTAGATAATTGAGTCAAAACATGGTCATGTAAAATATAGCTTATATGAATGATTTTCATTTCCACAGTACAGTTTTGGAGAATACTAATCCAAACTGAAGGGGCATGAAAAAGGAAATTTCCAATTGAAAAAAGAAAATCTTTTTAATCCCAATGCACATTGTCAACTTCTAGTAATAGAGTCTACGATTAATGAAGAATACTGAGTTTCCCACAAGCTTACCCCTTCAAACTCAGACCATGGAGGTTTACCATTAAACATCTCAATGACGGTACAACCCAAGCTCCAAATGTCAACTGCCAGAGCAAGATCGGGATTGGCATCTTTGTGCTGCATAACTGCCTTTATGACCTGCAATAAGTGGCAGAGAGTTAAAGGAAGGGTAAAAACAGCTATCAAAAAAAAAAAAAAAAGCACTAGATTGATTAAGTTTAATCACCTCTGGAGCCATCCAGTATGGACTGCCCTTCAAAGACAGCTCATATGATAGTCCTGTAAGCTGAAGCAGAATATGTTTAAGAATTTAAAGATTGTCTCTTTGGAGAAAAAATAAGACACCGCAATGTAGGAAGCTTGTAGAAATTTCGAACTCACATGTTTGGCCATACCAAAATCGGCAAGTTTAACAACACCAGATGCATTAACAAGCAAGTTTGCACCTTTGATATCCCTATAGAACATAAAGACCAAAATCACAAATTTTACAATACAAACCAAATTCTATAACAAAGAACTGAATCTCTCTTTGACAAGCAAATCTTAATCTCTCTTTCACAAAGAATAAATTGTAATTTTATATTTTACAAAGGTCTGAAATGTTTGCATTTCAAAAGTAATGAGTATTAATTACTAAGGAAGAGAAGCTAAGCTGCAATACAGCACTCTATGTCTTCTAAACAGGCATGAATATCACCTGTGGATGGTCTTTTTGCTGTGCAAGTATGCCAGCCCAGATAGAATGTGGCGGGTGAAATTGCGAACTATAGACTCCGTTATGCCTCCACAATGTTCACGAATATATTTATTAAGCGAGCCAGGATGGACAAGCTCCAAATAGATGTAAAAGTGATCATCAACCTGCAGAATAGAGGGGTTCCCTAATATCAAGCTCACAATTATCTATTTTAAGCAGTAAGTATGACACACAAAACAACTGCTTACAATTTCACTGCCATAATACTGCACAATATTTGGATGCTCTAAATTCTGTAGAACTTTAATTTCCTGAAGAACACAAAAAGGTTTAATCACCCATGTAATCCAATTGTAACGCAGGAAAGGGGGCATTTTCAAATGCAATTGAACAACTAAAGAGCATGTATTGAGACCCATGAACAAAATTTCCAGTCATGAGACATGAGCTATAACCAAACTGATCAATTAAAGGCCTTAGGAGAATAACCTGCTCCAATTGCTTTATACATTCAAGAGATTTAGGATCATCAGGAATGATATCCACTTCTTTCATTGCACATGAAGCTCCAGTCGTCCTATCAAAAGGAAATACAAAGAAATGTCAGTACCACGAAGATAAAAGGTTAATAAACTACCCCCTTAAAGGATTTTGGTAAACTTCCATACATGTTGGTTGCATAATAAACACTTCCATATGTACCCCGCCCAATAAGCTTTCCTTTCTGCCATTGACCTTTCATTGACGTTGAAGCTGGTTTTTCTGTAATGTGATGCCCAATTGGAGGTATTGATTGTTGTGGAGGTTGCAAGGCTCCTGGTGGAAGGGGCAATGGATGAGGATTAGCATGTGGAGGAAATGGAAATCTATTTGGACTTCTGGCATTGAGGTAGGGACTTGGAACACTAAGGCTATGTTGTGGAGAACGTTCGGGAGTATGTAGATTTCTTGGGGATACTGGCAAACTATAGGCTTCAGACTTCCTGGCTGGCAGAACATCTAAAGCTATTGAAGCAGGTAATTGATCTTGATGTCCCCAAAAGGGAGAATTAAGAACATCTGATGCATCTGATCTTCGAGGGCTAGCAACAGGACTAGAGAAAACACTTGTTGGAGCACTCCTGGTAGGAACAACCAGCATCAAGTCGTAGTTAGAGCTCCTCCCAACATTCAAGTCATGAGATAATCGGCGACGATTGAACAAAGATTGGGTGGAATCCATGACATCATGAGAGTGAAAGAAATCTTTGGTGCTTGATCTTGGAGGGCTAACCGGAGGACTTAAGAAACCGTTTGTATTAGCGCTCAGACCACCAGAAGCGCTCAGCCGTTGACCATTGCTAACGCTTCCAAAATGGACGTCCCCTCGAAAATTGATCGGAGATTTTGCCAGAAGTTTAGCGACACGATCGTTGTTCCACCTGAGTTTCATAAAACTACCAAAGATAAAGGTCTTTACTTTCTTTAAAATAAAGGAAAATTTTTCTCGAATCGAAATTTCGAAAATCAACTGTAATTCTGCTTTTAAAGAGGAAAGAAAGCACCCAATTGGGAAAGATGACTGCAGAAGTAAAATTCAGGGAGCTTACCTTCCGATAGCAGTGGAGTGTCCTTCATCAAGTGATATGGGATAAACCGGAGATGACGACTGGGGTCTACGATGTACAAACGATTCAGGTCGCGGCAAAGGCTTCGGAGTGGCCGAAGAAGACCAGTGCTCCTGGCCGTCCGGGGAGCGCAACTTCCCCGCAGAATCGGGCGAATTCGTCAGCGAATGTGAACGACCATTGACGTTCGAGTGCAACCCCACATCATCATCGCTGACGTGCCTGAGCTTCCTCAGGCGCGTGAGGCGACGATGCGCGGATGAGTTCTCTCGGGTGTCGGTAAATTTCCCAGCATTCCCACAGTCGTCAAGTGATTGAGACGGCGTCGGCGAAGAGGAAAGACCGGCAGAGCAGACTTTCTGGGAACTGGGCATCTATTAAGGGATTAGTGAAACAACAAAGGACGCGATATCGCTGATCACCATCTGTTTGATGAAACGCCTCAACGAAACACCTTTACTTTGTCTCCGGCATTAAAAAACACCCACAAAAATGCAAACCCCTTTTCTCTTGATCTTAGCCAAAAGGCCGAGAAAGGTATATGCAATTCCTTTTCTAAGTCAACACCTAAAATGGATGTCTCCCCCTGGCTGCCATTTTCCTTCTTCAACAAACCCTTTTAAATCCTTCTGATGTGAAAATTCTGATACCGCGCTTCAATCCCTTCCCGATGAAAAATTCAGAGGCCGCGCCGCTTCAGTGTTGTACACGAAGTTTTAAATCGTGAATCACCCTTGCTTTGTACTTCTACCTTCTTCTCCATTGACAAACAGGGTGAAACAGGCCCTGAAAAAATAATAAAGCCAAGTCAAGATTGACACAATCCACGAACCGTGTGAGTGCGGTCAGAGTCCATAATTTCCCTTTCCCCCTCCCAAGTCCCAACTCCTTTTTTTTTGTCTTTTTCTGTTCGTTTTTAATTTTTACGGAGAAATTAGTACTCCTTAACGAATTATATCCTAATTTTTACTTGCAGTAGGCCTCAAGCCCACTCGGTAGGTATATTTAATGATTTATTAATGGTTAAAATTTAAATTATGATTTTATCATGTTATAATTTTTTATCTTTTATTCTTAAATTGTCTTTATTAAAAAATCCTAATTTTTACTTAAAAAATATAAAAATATTATAATT